ATATAAAATTATTTGCATTGCTTTTGGTCACAGAAAAATGGCATCAAATGGGTGGTTGTTGGGGATGAAAACTATGGTGAGGGATCGAGTCGGGAACATGCAGCATTGGAACCACGTCACCTGGGAGGCAGAGCCATCATCACAAAGAGCTTTGCCAGGATTCATGGTGAGTACCACCACCAGCACCTGGATACTGTGTGGTGTATAAGAGGTTTCCTTATGGCTTGGAAGACCCTATTTCCTTGACGTGTTCAGTACTGGGGGCAGGAAAGAGAACAGGATTTGCTGGAGCAAATCCATTGTCCATCTAGTCTGGTGTCCTGCCTGCCATTGTCTTACTATACAGTGTTTCTTTCAATCTGTTTAGCTTACCAAAACAAGGACTGAAGTGATTTGATAAGTGTGTAAGTACCTTCATGAGGGGGAAAAAATCACATACTAAAAGACTAATCTAGCAGAGAAAGGCTTAAGAATCAATGGCTAGAAGCTGATCAAACTAAGAAAGGCATAACTTTTAACGGTGAGGATGATTAATCACTGGAACAAACTACCAAGGGAAGTGGTGGATTCTTCATCTCTTGATGTCTTCAAGAGTGGATGCATTTTTGGCAGTTGTGCTTTGACTAAATACAAGTCATGGGGCTCAATACTGGGGTAACTAGGTGAAATTCTGTGGCCTGTGCTATATAGGTCAGACTAGATGAGTTCATGGTCCCTTCTGACCTTAATCTATGAATCCACACCCACACTTACACCTCCCTAGGGAAGCTCCATTGAAGTCCACTCCCAACAGGGATAAAGATGACCCAAAAAGCTTACAAACATCCATCTTATTATAAAGTCTCTAAGTTATTGCATTCCCATCAGTTTCTTGCCTGGAAAGCCATTAGAAGTACTCTTCTTAGAGGTGGTATGTAAGAAACACATGCCACATGCTTCACTGCTTGGCAGACTCCAAGCAACAGAGGGGTGCAGGGGGTGAGGTGGGATAGCAGATAGTGACTTCTAGATCTTTTGCAATTGGCTGTTTTGAGGAGAGGGAGTTACTAAACCAATGGAGGCAGATATAATGCAATCATTCAGAAAGTTGTGTACTACTGAAACGCCACCTGTGTCTGTTGTTTCTATCTGTTTTTTGAAAATGTACCTTAAACGGTCTCAGCTTTTTCAGTAGGATCTGCAATGGAACAGAGTTGGGTGTGTCTCTGGATGCTTCCCTCCCCAACTTCTTCACAGTATGTGCTGGATCTTAGATCTGTGACCGTATTCTTAAAGACCAGATAAAATGTTACCACACTGCCCCTAGAAAAGCCAAGCATAGTTTGGGGCAAACTTATAGAAGGATCGATGTCCTGTTTAATCAGGATACACCAAGGCCTCCAAATCTGAACCATGCATTTCTTGGTCAAGCAACTTTATGTTGTGGTGGAAACATCTGCGAAATCGCATTACTCACAAGATCTGGAAGTCCCTATATACTTCGTATCAATATTTATTTGTACTCTTGTAGCGCCTAGGGGCTCCAGCTGCATTGTGCAAGGCACTGTAGAAACACATGACAGCTGCTGATTGTGATATTCAAGTATCAAACAGTATGGTGGATGTTCTTATACCTCTGTGATTCTGAGCTTATCCATCACGTTCCCTGCAAACTTCCCTTCCACCTAACAATGCTCCTCCTTGTCCACTTGCCAACACTGTTGGGTGAAAGGGGGAAATGAGGAAGATACCTTCCTGATGCTTGTCAGCAGACTACTCCTGGCCTTCATTTCATTGCTCAGAAGTGAGAGCTGCTGGATAAAATGAGCACTGGCTATGGAGCTACCATTGCCTGAGGGGCAGCCATTGCATTGTCAGTATATTACGCTGCAATACCTAAAATGTGGGATGTTATTTATCCCCCATGCCAGGCTCACTAAACTGTCCTATACCCTTTGTGGTGGGTGGTGAACCCTTGCGGTCTTATTTACAGAAACCAACCTCAAGAAGCAAGGCCTGCTGCCTCTAACTTTTGCTGACCCAGCTGACTACAACAAGATTCATCCTGTGGACAAGCTGAGCATTGTGGGTCTGGCAGACTTTGCACCTGGAAAGGTAACTGGTTGGATTTCCTATTGCAGCAATGAGCTGCATTTTGCTTCCACTGGGCAAACTCCCAGGGATCAGAGAGATTTCTAGGGGGAGGGAGGGTTATGACTAACTCTGCTCCTAGAGCAGTTCTCAAACTGTGGGTCAGGACTCCAAAGTGGGTCACAACCCCATTTTAATGGGGTCACCAGGGCTGACTTAGACTTGCTGGGGCCCAGGGCCAAAGCCCGAGCTCCATCGCCAGGGGCTGAAGCAGAAGCCCAAGGGCTTGAGCCCTGAGTGACAGGGCTCAGCTTACAGGCTCCCTGCCTGGGACTGAAGCCCTGGGGCCAAAGGGGCTTGGGTGGGCTCAGGCTTCAGTCCCCCATCTTGGGGTTGGATAGTAACGGTTGTTGTCAGAAGGGGATCATGGTGCAATGAAGTCTGAGAACCCCTGTCCTAGAGGGAGTGGTGGAAGCCAGGCCTAGTGTTCTGAATGGAGTACTTACAAATATAGGAATTGCCAACCAGATCTGAATGGTCCATATAGTCTAGTCCGGTATTCTGGACTTACTGGTGGTCCAGAGAGCTGACTCTCACTCATGGTGCTGGCCTCCATTCCTGCTGCCTCTCTCCATTGAGGATGAGGTAAAAATAAATTACTTCAGTTATTGCTATTCAGTGGCAGCTACAGCAGTCTGTTACAGGGGAGTGTTATGGGATTGCAAATGGGAGAATTGAGCTGCCTGATTGCAGATGGAAGAGGCAGTGTCTATAGGGCACTTGAGTTAAAGAACCCCTGGATTAGAAATTGTGTTAGAGGAGTGAGTGACCCCTTCAGTTTATCAGGGGCTCAGTGTTCTCCTTTAAGTGATTCCTTTTAACCCTTTCAACAGGGTAGGGTCAAAGACTTTCTAGTAAAGACTTTCCTGCATTCTCTTATAAATGTTGCTCCATGAAAGGAGAAAATGTAAACTCCAATCTTTCGCTTCCCTCCTCTCCCCTCTATAGCCCCTGAAATGCATCATCAAGCATCCCAATGGGAGTCAGGAAATCATCATGCTGAACCACACCTTCAATGAGACGCAGATAGAATGGTTCCAGGCTGGCAGTGCCCTGAACAGAATGAAGGAGATGCAGCAACACTGAAACAGCTGCACGTATACCCAGTGGACTTGGCTCTGACATCTTAATAAAAGTGCAATTCCATGGCTATTGAACATAAATGTCTGATCAAATGTAACCATAGCTGCTTTTTTGTAACTATTAGTTCACTGACACCGAACAGGGAGTGCAGCTCACCTTGCTGCGTCTTGGTTTCCAAATTCCCCAGCTCTTTGGTTCAGATTTCACTTGTATTTATTTTTGAAGGTAACTGCTCAGTTGGCTTTTTCTGCCCAATCATTTCATGGATGGCTGAAGAAATTTAAAGTAGGACTTTTTGGTTCTTGTGAAAATATAAAATCCAAAATAAAGATTGTGATGGACATCTCCAGTTTGAACTGTTGTATTGATATTTCTGATCACTGACCACTCTCTGCATTCAAGAGGTTGAAGGTGGGGCTGTGTGACTCCAAAAAAGCTGTCAACTTGCCTTCACTACACCATCCTCTACTTTCAAGGGCATCTGCACTCCAATTGTCAGTACACAGCCTTGGTCTCCTTTTGCACTTGTGAATGTCGGTTTATGCCCTAAAAGCTCACTTCCATCTGTGACTGGCCAAATGATAGGATGGAGAATAAGCAGACAGCTGCACACTGTGATCCATCCGTGTGACCTCCCCAACTGGCTACTGCACTTCTCTCCTAGGAATAAATTCATCCACCCTGCAAAAAGCTGTTACAGGCAGAAATCTTGCTGTTCAGCAATTCCAATCTCCATGAACTACACCTTCCCCTGCCCTACTGATCAAGTCTGTCCTGATACTCCAATTCCTCTTTGGAATTGGCCTAAGACCTCATCTCTGACTTCCTACACCAGCTATAGTCCACCAGAACAATGACATAAATGGGGGAGGCTTGTGAGGAGAGCAGCTCTTTCCCAGGACCTAGAGTAGTACAGCACACTCACCCAGAGGAGACAAGAACAGTGGACCTTACCACTCACCCCTTACTTACATGCAAATCTTAACTAATTGATTCTTCACTCACTGGGTGAATAGGTCCAGAGATCACTTGTATTTAAGAAGGTGAAAGGCTTTCAGATGGTATGAGTCAGGTAGTCGGCATATGCAAGCAGAGTAAAAGTATACATGCAGTGCCAAGTGGAAGACTATTTTATTTTTATTTTTTTTTTAGAATGGGGTCTGAAATTCACTTACTGGGAACAGAAGGGCCCTAACTGCAGCAAGGGTTAGGGGGAAGCAACTCTCAACTGTGTAGTTCCAATTACCCCTTTAATTTAGTGCTGCCCTTGAAAGGAACAGCAGTAATACACAGCTGGGGTGAAAAGTGCATGCTGGGACTCTGGGAATTACTAGGTGTATGCTAGCACATATTGCCTCAATTTCATTCCAAAATACTGAAAATTGGAGAACTCTTCCATTTCTCTGACACTGCACTAATGCAAGCTTCAATCTAGCCTCAGAACTCAGAGGGGTATAATAGGTGAGACAGCACTACCAGTGCTGTAACTTGCTAGTTGTTCATGGCCATGTGTGCATAGAGGCCACAGTGCAATAACTAGTGTATGAGACTGACACCACCAGTAGCTTTGATTGGTCAGACTTCAGCTGCTTGGAATCCATGGTTTTCACATAGCCAAAGTGCCTTAAAATATAAAGATGAGTCTCTCTGAAGAGCATCCTCTCCGCCTTGAAGCCTCTTCCTAGAACATGCTCAAATCTGCTCCTCCTGTGCTCCAAGCTATAGAGTTCTGTAAAATACCCATACCTTTCTTTCCCCTTAGCATCCCTGTTAGTGTGATTCTAACAGAGCAATGGTTGGTCGGTCAGTGTTGCTATACTTCATTAGAGAAGCTGGTGACAGCACAGAGGGGACTTTATGAATTCAGATGGCTGAGAGAAGATGAATTCTAGACTTCTTTTTGATTAAATCTATGAACCAGCAGTAGCCAAGCTCAGAACTAAGGGGCTGTAATTATATTGTAAGAATGGTTCCAGTGACTTAAGCTTTGCATTCATGGTTTGAGATCAGCAGAACCACCATCCAATGGAATTCTAGCCCCCCAAAATGGCTGCTATTTAATCATGCAAAACACATCACACTCCTGGCTCCCTGCCCTGCACAGACTCCCACTAACTTTTTGTTCCCTGCTTTCCTTTCAGTGCTGTCAGCAAAAGTAATTGAGTTTGGTTCCTATGTGTTTAATGCTGTTCCTCAAAGTAGAAACCAGAAAGTATCTGCATTGAGATGGAGTAAGCATCCCAGGCTGCAGGAGGTGGGTTTGTCTTTTCCTGATAGAGAGGAAGCTGGGTTGTGTATGGCCAGTAATAACATTTATTCATCTACTATTAAAACCAGCCTTCCTGCCCCCTAAGGGATTGGAAATATGGCTTTACTCAGCAATATGGCCTCTCCTCTAAAATTAAGTGACCATTTCAGCCAAGCCACTAGTAGAATTGAGCTTGTTTTGCATAAAACCACAGTCCATCCACTGTTTTACAGCATCTCACTTCAGCACCATAGCAGGTGGTTGTTTTCAGAGGACAGCAAAAGATTAGAAACAGAAGCTAAATTGCTTCCTAGTAAGCGGTCACCCTTCCATCTTCATGGCAATTCATGTAATAGAACTCCAGCTCCCTTGTACAGTGAAGTGAATCCTCTATGGGCTGGATTCCCATCCTTGCCCCAGCTCTCAAACCCTTCCCCATCCTTTCATCACCAGGGTTTACAATGGCCTAAGAGCCAACATATCCCTTTCCCATACTTTGCGGTTTTCTCTCATGTTGAGACAGCAGCAGCACCTTGTTTTGTGCCAAGGAGATATGAATACTTCCACTAAAGGAGAGACTGGCCTTTGCTTATACCTCTCCTTACATTTCTCAAGCCAGGAGACTGGGTATGGTAGAAAATTACCAGTTTCTTCTGGCCAGACAGCACCACTTGTCCTGCCACTATAACAACTCAGATTGCTCTTTTTCAAGACAGCAGAGACTTTCTTTGGCATTTGAACCCAATTTTGCTCTGCTTTCCAGGATGTCAAAGTCCCAGATGGGTTTGTGGCTGCTGGGCTCATGTAACAGGGCAGCCCTTCCATGTCTGTAGTTTTACTTGTACAGTTCTAACAGAGGTATTTCTTGGCAGTTGTCAGCTCGAACTGGTGGGGAGCAAAGACAGGAACATGGAAGCCCTGCTTTCTTGTCCACTGCCTGGAGGGGAGCAGAGCACCAGCTGGCTCCTGCAATCCCTGAAAGCATCCATCCTGTAGGGTCCATGCAGAACAAGTTCTGACTGCTGCTAACTGTTTGTCCACCACGAGAGGAGGCCCAGGCCAGGCTCACTGATAGATCCCTGTCCAGAGAGAAGGAAAAAGAATGAGATGAGAATTTAAGAAGGTTCACAGGCGAGTAGATAAGAGTGAATGTTTGATCCAACTTAGCTGTCAACTGGGGGTGGGTGGGTGTATTCAAAGGAGGGGGAATATCTGAGTATCTACTGGAATCCTCCTTTCCTCCCTGTCTCACAATGACCCTCAGAGGTCCAGCCTCCACACACAAATACCCCACTCCATCACTGGGAAGGTGCAGTTTAAGGAAGCACCAGCACTAATTTAGAGTCTTGCCTTTCTGCTGTGCACAGGCCTTTAGATCAGAAGTTCTTTAGGGGAAGAGATTGTTTGGCACAAGGCTATTGTGCAGCAATAGGTGCACTTCTATTCCATATGCACCAGGCAACCTCACTTGCTGCCTTCAGCCCCCTCCTCAGAACTTCATCCCAATGTTTATTACAATGACAAAGACACCAGATACATATTTAGTAACGCTGATCTCAGTAACCTTATCCCCCACCTTTGTCATTCTTCACTGTGTTATCTCTAATTTAGACAGTAAGCTACTTGGGGAAGAGGCACGGTCTCTTTAAAATGCCATGCACATCTATGGTGCTGTATGAATTATACATAGTTACCACTAGAGTGTAGGGTGCCTCCTTCTTCTGTACCTCCTCTGTGGCACCAGAGGTGGAGGCCTCTGTGGAGCTTGGACCTGTAGGAGATGTGTCAACAAAGCTCTCATCCACTATCCGGAAGCGGATCTCCTCCCCTGTGTCCATGTACAGGTCATGAGCTCCTTCTTCTGTCTCATACTCCCACACCCAGACCTGCTCTGCTTCATCACTGGCCAGCTCAAGTCAAGGCAGTAAAACAAATCATGAGAATCCAGTGATTTTCTTTCACTCAATAGACCATTCTCCCCAAGAGCCCTCTGAGCAGGAGGCTCGTGGTTTGAATCCCAGGATTCACTCTCTTCACCCATTCTCAAACTGCACCACACTTCTCCAAGCAGCTCTAAAACCCAGGCCCTTTTATCTTAGCTTTACAGCAGCAAAAAGGATAATCAGTGCTCATGCTTCAAGGCATAAGATAGTCACCTGGGATGGAGTCCAAAAAAAAAAAAAAGATAATTCTCCCACCATGTACCGAATTGGCCAAGTGCATCATGTTGGGCAGGCCACTGATGGAGGCAAGTTACAAGACTGGAGAATGTCTATGCTGTAGAAACCCCTCCTCCCCCCCAGCTGTTTAGGTGACTTTGCCATTCATTTCTAACAGGTGGCAGAGTAACCCTACAAGACCCACTTGGTGTGACCCCAAAGGGGTCACCTGTTTAACGCCGATACCTGACTGCATGGGACTCTGGACCAGGCATGATACTCCAGCTGCTGTCCCCGAGTCTCTTTATAGTACAGAAGGGGGCATGCAAGGGTTAAGGTGACAAGAACTGTAGCCACTTCCCTCCTTTCTTTAAAAAAAAAAAAAAAGAAAAGAAAAAAGTCAATGTGAAAGATGGTTAGAGGATACAACTTAGCTGGCTGCTGCAAGGACTCTGGAGGGATGACAATGTCATCGAAGAAACCAAGAGAAACTGCAAAGCAAAGAATCAAATTAGGAAGAAAAGGATCTTGCCATCAGTGATGGAGTACATTAAAGTGGTATAATGTCAGCTTGACGTTTGTTTTTTGTTTTTTTAAGTGTGAAGTACAGCAAATCAGTTGTTGTGCCTGCCTAAGTCCCGCTAGCAGATCTATAGCTCTACAGTCCCACTCTTCTGTTAAGTGTTTCTCTCTCTCAGCTGCTGTGAGAAAGTCCCTCAAAACAAGAAAGGATAGTGACACCCTGACCATAAACTAATTACTGTCAAATCCACAAACTAAACAATTTTTTCACTAACTTTAGATACAGGGGGGGGTCACAGACACTGCACATAATCATAGAAGGCAAGAGAATTCTGACCAATGTGATTTACGGTGATAATATACCCCTTTTAACCAAATGACTCTCAGAAGCCATGCTAAAGGAATTCCAGACAAAGCAAACCTATGCCTCTATCCGCCAGTGAGCTTTATCCACCTGCACAATCTAGTGGATCCAAGCTCTTCTGGGATGTGCACATACAGGACTGAATAAAGGAGGTTTGTGGGTCTGGGCAAAACCCTCAAGCAAAAGGGCCCACACCTGCCCCCAGTCTGAAACTAGCAATGTAACTAAAGGCTTGTCTACACCGGCAATTTACAGCGCTGCAACTTTCTTGCTCACGAGTGTGAAAAAACACCCCCCCCCCCCCCCCCCCGAGCACAGCAAGTTTCAGCGCTGTAAAGCGCCACTGTAGACAGTGCACCAGCGCTGGGAGCTACGACAAGCCACGTTAAAGCGCTGCCGCGGCAGTGCTTTAGCATTGCCAGTGTAGACTAGCCCCAAGATTGCTCCCACACTCATTTCACTCTTGTTCCCTGTCAGGTTTTTGCTGGAATCCACATATTCACTGGAAATCCACATTTTGCGCTGAAACAAAATAAAACCATCCCAATGAGAGTTTTTTTGCTTTTTGCACTGATGTGCCAGTGAAGACTCTAGATTGCTTTTACAGGTTTAATTGCCTTCTGGAGCTGTCCCACAATGCAGAGCGGGAGTGGTCGCTCTTTGAAACTCAGCAGCCCTGCCTGCAGGTATGCGCCCCTCCCCCTTTAGCTCCATTCTGACAGCCTGTGCTCTCACTGCTCAGGGACACAAAGCAAATCATTTTTGTGGAATGCTCCTGCTGCCTCCCACAATGCGAACAGAGGCAGGCAGACAGAATGTGCTGTGCAGTCAGGGAGGGAGGCGGGGGCTGAGGTTGGGGTCTCTCCCTCCCCTGGGACTGGTTGCTTCCGGCAGCTGTCACACACACATATCCACCCCTTCCACAATAATGATTTGCTTTGTGTCCCGGAGCAGTGCATAGTGGGACAGCTACCACAGTGCGCTCCTCTCATCTGCGATGCAAGTGCTGCATATGTAAACACGCTCTGATGCCTGTGGAAAACAATATGAACACAAACCAGCACTTTTCTTTTAGTGCTCTTCTATCACCGACAAAACTGTCAGCGAAAGAACTCTGCCAGAAGCAACCAGTCCCGGTGAAGGGAGAGACCCCAACCTCAGCCCCCGCCTCCCTCCCTGACTCTGCACAGCACATTCTGTCTGCCTGCCTCTGTTCGCATTGTGGGAGGCAGCAGGAGCATTCCACAAAAATGATTTGCTTTGTGTCCCGGAGCAGTGAGAGCACAGGCTGTCAGAATGGAGCTAAAAACTCTGCAAGCCTTAGTTACTGTTGACCCAAGCCAAACTAGAAATAATGACTTGGGGTTGAACATCTCTGTATCTCAAACCAATCTCATAGCCTAGGATGCTGGATTCAACACTGACAGCTATAGTCTCCCTAGTATTAGAAGTTGTAATTTACCATGAACTCCATCCTGACTGCAGCCTTTAATCTCCCCGATCAGAATCTCATCCAGAAAGGGATGGAATACCACATACCGGAAATGCACTGGAACGAAGCAAAGATACTAGGTCTGAGAAAGTCACATACTTAATTTCCTCTGGGTAACAGCCATTTAAAAATAAAATAAAAAAAAAAAAAATCTACCCCACACCCGCCAAATCTTGTATCTGATGTTTCTTTAGCAGCTTTTATCCCCATGCCAACAATATCAGCACACTCAAACTCCCACAATACTTTTAAGTTCTCAGGAATCATGTGGTGTGCATATAACTGGACTAAGTAATTGCACAACTTTGTTACTGTAATACTCACCGGCCTATTGTTTGCCACACTTGCTTGTTATTTTTTGTATTGGACTGTAAACTTCTTAGAGCAGAGACTTTCTTTCTGCCTAATACAATGGGGCCCTGCTCTTCCTATTGGGCATTACTACAGTACAAATAAAGCCTGGGAGGGAGGAGAAGCGGAGCTGAGCTGCGTGCTCGTGGGAGGAGGCGGCGGAGCGGAGGTAAGCTGGGGCGGGGAGCAGTTCCTCTGCGCCCCCCCCCCTTACTTGCTGCGGCCCCCCTGCCCCAGCTCACTTCCGCTCCTCCTCCCTCCCAGGCTTGCCGTGCCAAACAGCTGATTGGCGCAGCAAGCTTGGGAGGGCATGGGGAGAAGGGGAGAAGCGGGGCTGCGGCGCGCTCATGGGAGGAGGCGGAGAGGAGGTGAGCTGGGGCGGGGGGGCCCTGGGGAGGGCCACAGCAAGTAACAGGTGGAAGCAGAGGAACCGCTTGCGGTAACACGAATTCGGATATAACAAGGTAAAGCAGCCCCGTTCCCTGGAGCGCTGCTTTACCGCATTCTATCCGAATTCGCGTTATATCCGACCACATTATATCGGGGTAGAGGTGTAGTTGTATGACAATGCACAGCAGTGCAACGTAGCAGAGATGTTAGTGAGGCTCAATTTTAGACAAATTCCCACTTTGATTCCAGAAGTAAACTTCAAAATATTATCTTTGAAGCTGCCTTTTATTTATTTACTTATTTTTATAAAAGGTGTTTCTCCAGCCCAGAAAGGGATGGGAGAAGTTGCTCCAAAGTAGTTACAACCAACAGAGAGAATTAAAGTTATCACAGAATTTCGGATAGGCTGCCCCAGCAATCTCTATACCAGTATTTATTACTATATATTAGATTGTGGGAGTACTGCAAGTATGCTAGACACTCGACACAAAGAGACAGGTGCTTGTCCCAAAGACCTTATGAATTAAAAAACTAGAGGAAGGGATGGTGAAAGAGATATAATATACAAGCAAAGTGACCAGGGTGGGGGATTACCTGCTGAGACGGATTCTCTTTCTGCTTCTTAGGTCACCCCCCACAATAAAGCTCCTGGAATCCAAACCCCTGGCTGGTTATTCTGATGATTGGCAAAGCAGAACGTAACCCAGCTTTGCTCTTCTGAAGGGCTGATACTAACCAAACCAAGTCTTTCTCCAGTGTAAGTTAAACAGATAAGACTGTGGTGATGGGAACAAAGGTGGACACACATCTGGAAAGGCCAATTTTAGACAGTGTCACTTTTCTCACCACAAACATTTTGATGTCTCAACCCTTTGTTACCGATTAGGAACCCGCCTGGCTACTGGGACACTATGGGTATCAGAGGAGCACTGCAGATGCTTTCTGTAATAGATGGTATTTACCTTAAGGAGTGGCTGAGATGCAGGCAGCAGGATAGTGGTAGCGAGTGATGCTCAGAAGCATGATAAATTCTACCGCTTACAACATGCCCAATAGTCGTATACATTTTCTACTGCAGGCTACCCAATACTCAGGGACAGATACTGAAATAGCTTTCTCTGTCCAATGGAAGGGTGAGGGTTAAGCCCACTCCAGTGACTAGTCTGGAACACAGGTGAATTGGCTTAACTAGTCACAGGCAAAAACGCCTTTGTTAATACAGAATTGAGGTTGCAGGTGCTCAACACTCTCCTGTGCCCCTCTTGCCCTTCCAGTATGGGAGAGCTTAAGTTCTCAAAATGCAAATGGTGCAGAACAAGGCAGTGTGGTGCTAACGTTAGCACTACAAGAGAAAATCCTCAAACAACAGAAAGCCAGGAAATGCAATTAAGGCCATACTTCCCACACAACATAACCTTCACTCCACCCCCTTGGATCCCCACCATGAGGAGTCCCTCAGGCAAATCACAAGAGGCAATGGGGTTGGAGGCCTCCCTACACATTTTTGTCCAACTAGCAGCAAGTAGTTCCCACAGCAATGGTGCTGCTCAGAGGGTATGAACAGGTGAGCCAATTTAAAGTGCGGCGAGCACACAGAAAACAACAGCTTTTGACAGGGACAGATGATGTCCTGTGATGCTCCTCTTGGGACCTCTACCCGGGTAGAATTAAGGTTGTGAGGCTTGAACCATTCCTGCAGCCTTCCTAGTAGGATAATTAGAGAGCTGGAAGAATCCTGAGAACCACACAGCTTAGGAAAAGCAGTAGCAGACCTTTAGTGTGCGATGCACCATCCCCAGGAAATATGTACGAGTCTTCCAGCTTTGTGATGTCATACAGACAGATGCAGAGGCCAACATTGTACACAACCTGTTCAGAGAAAAGCCAATGAGCAATAAATCTCTTGAACCTGAAGTTGTAAATCCCCTCAAATCTCTTCCCCTCGCCACTCTCACACACAAGTTTTTAAAGCAGGAAGCTCATGCAAATGGCCAACCAGATGAACTGCCACAGGAGGAATTGGACAAGAGACCCATGTGCATCAGATCAGAGCACTGTAGAGGTGCAGGCCTCAGCTCTTGCAGGGAAAAGACAGCGCACACTCATCATCACCTTCTAGGGACCCCTCTGGCTTTCTCAGAGGTATCGGAGGGCATGTGTTGACCTACTCCAGAAACAGCACTGCTGCAACCTGAGCCTTTTAGGAGGTTGTCAAAGATGGGAAAATGGGAGAAGTGAGCCCTATGAGTGGCTTAAATAACCACCACCCCACTGAATGAGAAATGCAGCATTTCCAGAACTAGCTGTTCCAAAGGCCAGAAACTCCCCTTGCTGGGTAGTCATGCCCTGGAATCCCTTTCTGTAAGAGATATGCTTCACTCAGAAGTCATGAAGACAGCGCAGGTGAAGAAAGTGCCCCTCCCCTCCCAAATCAGGTTACACCCACCATTAACTCTAGACCCATCAGTTGATACTCAGGTCAGAAGGAGCTTGCCTATATCATACAACATAGGTATTTTCAAAATACTGAAAATACTAAAGATGTCAGTATACCCTATGGGCTTGGGGCTGCCTCTCAAACCAAATTACAAATAGAAGAGACCTAGTAGGTCCCAACTTCCCCATTCATCCCTATCAGTGGGAGATGATTCCCTACAGTGTATTAAATGTCCCAACAATGGGGCTTCTGCCATTCCTTTAGGAGATTGTTCCTCAGCCTATCAGAAATCTTTTCTGATGTTCAGTTCTGCTTAGTTTTATCCTAGTCAAGTCCCCAACCCACAAAAGACCCTGAACCAGGGCTTTGGAGCGGAGCCTGGAGCTGGAGCACGGACCAGTAGGTTTTTGTCCGGAGCCGGAGTGGAGCAATTCAAAAATCTGATTGCTCCAAATCTCTGCCCTGAACATTCCCTCTCTTTCTTGGTTGTTCAAACACTTGTAGACATCATCCCATCTCAAGCCACTGGTGGCCAACTGAGACATGTTTAATAATCTCTCCACATAAGTCACTCTTCATAGCCCCAATCATTCTTGTTGCTCTTCTCTGAACTCCCTTCAGTTTATTAGTTACCTGTGTAGAACTGAATGCTGCATTCTAATCATAGTCGCAGCAGCTCTATATACGAGGGGCGGTGACCTCTCTGGTCTGTGGTATGATGCCTTTTTATATGCTGTACCAAATCTCATCAGCTTTTTTGTTGCCAGATCACATTTCAAATGCTTAGTGCACAGCAGTGAAATACTATCACCCCATGGTTTCTTTCAACATTACTGCCTTCAAGGTATTTCTCCCTCCACGATGTGTAAGTTTGCATTTTTCCAGGCTGAGTCTCCTATTGCTACTTCCTACTCCTGCCAACTACTCTAAGTTCCCGTCACTATTTCTCTGCCTCACCTGGCATCCTTCTCAGTTCAGTATTCCCTCGGAATATCATTACTGTGCTCTTTACCCTCCTTCTTCTACATAATTTGAGATCACATTAAATAACGCAAAAGCCATCACCTTCTCCAACTCTATATTTTTGATCATTACCCTCTGTAGGTGGTCCCTTAGGTAGTTTTCAGTCTTTGTAATGGTTCTCATATCCAAACCATTCTGAATTTAATTTTTTGCTGCTTACGCGGTCACCCACAGCTGCACAAAAGTCTGGTTCATGTGTTCAGTGCTCTAAGCTTTACCTTGTTAGCTAACTTCTTATTTAGCTCTTCGGCAATGGAGTCATTGAGTTTCATTTCAAACTGCCACGGAGGAATCCGTACCGTATCCATCATCTCCACTAGAACAAACATGGCGGCTAGTAGCAAGTGTCCCTGGAGAAAGAGAGCAGAGAGCCAATAAGGCCTGGTCTACACTACAAAGTTTTGCCAGCATAGCTATGTCGGCTAGGAGTGGGGGGAGGAGGGAAATTAAAAAAAAAAAAAAATCACGCACATCCAGCTGATAGAACTATGCCGGCAAATCCGCCAGAATGCACGCAACTATGCTGACAGAAGCATGCTTCTGTTGGCATAATTAATGTTGCTTGGGGAGGTAGTGTAGCTATGCCAGGAAAACTCCCTATGCAGGCCAAGGCTCTGTACTGTAGATAAACCCTAAAAGCAGAAGGACCCTTTCAGATCAGGGGTGGGCTTAGGATCCTCTGACAGCTTGGTTGGGTGAGGTGTCTGGGAAATTGTTCAGTTCCTGCACTGTAGGCACTTCATTCGCATGGAATGTCTATAAAATCTGGCAGGTTCAATCAAAAACTCATGTGATTCAGCTATGGAGCAAAATGATCCTTTAGATTCACTTTGCTAGAGGTCCTGCCCAGTGAACCCCAAATGGTAACTTTCTATTTTTCCATTCAAGTCTCCAGCTCAATCCTCTATAATCATGAGCTCTTTGGGACAAAGATCATCTCTTCTTTATACACATGCACAGTGCCTAGCAACTGGGCTTCTAAGTATTACCCAATATGACAGCTAAGAAAGGGATCATCATCATTGCTGATGGCACATCCACAAGACAAGCCCAAGTGTTAGTGAGGATGTGTCCCCCCTGCTGGCCGTGAAAGGAAATGCTTCTGAGAGAGCATGACTGACGGGAACTTTGGTTTTTAGCTCATCCAGAAGATTCTGCACCACTCCACTACTTGCCTAAAGGAAAGATTAGGCCATTGTCAAAGATGCCACCTGGCCATTGTCACATAAAAGTGATCTTCAATTGTGGGTTGGGGGGAAGAAATGGCATTCATTCGTGCAAACTCAGGAGCAACCCTTTGAACCCACACTGTCTAATCCCCCCCGCACACTAAAAATATGATCCCCCACATATAGGAACAAAGGAAAATCATTTGCTTTTTTTTTTAAAAGCAGTTGGAAATAGCTATTAAGGTGATGGGCACATTACAAATCCCTAAATTAGATACTGTAGTTAACATAAATTGATCCTTAATTACAATATGCCAGATGCTCACATGCCCCAATGTTAGGTAGTTAACAATTCTGGGCTTTTTTCCACATCTGTAAAAATGCCAATCATTCGTAATACAATACTTAGAGGCTAGTGCCAACCAACCTCTGCCCCTCCCCTCACAAAGAGATACATTCCCTCCTACCTACCACCACGAAAGCTTAAATACAGCTCCAAACACAGGAGAGAGATGGGCTAACCTCTTAAAATGTCATTACTGAGCTAAGCAATTAGGGTGATAGATTCTTTTCTCCTGCTGCCATCTGAGGTCCCCTAAAGATTTTTCTTCTAGCATTTGACTTGCCAGAGGAGAGAAATGAGGGTTATATGTATTTTAAGATTTCCCTGCTGCACCTGGATAAGTCAAACCTGACAACACAGGAAAGGGACTTGGACAAAAACTGAGTAGCACGGAACGGGATAGGAAAATCAGTTTGGATTAGTTACTCCACGGGTAGTCAACAGGCAGACTGTGGGACACATCCGGACTACCAGTCACCTTTGAACAGACCTCCAAAATATTTTTTATTTATTTATCATTATTGGGGATTTATTATTTTCTTCTCTGTAATCTGTATCTTGGCTATACCTTGATGAAGAAATTTGGACCTTGACAAAAAATAATTGTCTACCCCGAGTTACTCCTAGCAGAGCCCAATGCGAGTTTTTGTATCAGACACACGAACTCCGGGCCAGCAAAGGGGCACCGAGCTCTTCCCCTTGAGGGTGGTGGCTTCAGTTCAACCTCGGGTCACATCTCACCAGCAGGAAAAACTTCCCAGCCGGGGCAGGACAAGCTTGGGAGAGGCCCCTCAGCTGGGAACCCGCTACCGCCGGGGGATCAGCGCAAACCCGGATCGCACACAGGCCCGTCGCTGTCCCGAGGCCTTTCCCCCTAAGGGAGCCACTAGCGGCCTCCCACCCGGGCCGGTCACTGCGCGCTGCCCCAGCGCTCTCGTTCCCCCGCCCCTGGCACTAGCCTCACCCTCGCGGGCCCGGATAGCGGCGTAGGGCCGCGCAGTATCCGCGCGGGCTGCGCTGGGCCCCCTGCGCAGCCCCCCTTCCCCTCCCCGCGCGGGACAGTCGGGCTCGCGCAGAGCCGCCCCCCGCCCCTGGGGCAGCGGCCCAGCAGAGCCCCCCCTCTTCTCCGTGCCCAGGGGGCTAACGGGCCCGCGCGTGGCCCACCAACAAGCGAACCATAGAAGGGGGAGTGGACGCTATGGTGCCGCAATGCATGGCGGGATAGAAACGGCTGCCGGAGGGCCAACCTGATTCCTCCCCAGGCAGCTGCCCTGCGGCCTCTTTAGCCCCCCCGCACGCACCTGTCCCGGCTGCAACGCGCACGTGGCAAGAGCAACACCGGCAGCAGCAGACAGTCCCGCGCCGCGGCAGCCCCCTAGTTACCGGCCAGGTGACTTCCGGTGGGTAGGCCAAACGCCTTTCAGGGGCGGGTCGAAGGGGTTGATTGACATACGAACTCTATCAGGTGACCAGGGCTTCCCCAATCCCCGAGCGAGGAGCGAAACGGCTCTAGCTCTGTGGTGCGCGAGTTGCTGCAGGCTGCGCCATTTTGCCCTTGCCAGACCCCCTCCCCCGCTCCCCGTTGCATTGAGTCCCGTGATTCCCCCCAAGCTCGCGGGGCAGCGATGTCCGGTCCCTGCCCAGCCCCGCGCCGGACGCGCTCTGCCCTGGCCGCAGAGCCGACTCCTGACACGGGTGCCCGAGAGAGCCCGGCTGGGGGTTCCGCTCCCCCCGGGCCCAGGGCCGAGCGAGCCGGAAACGTGCTGGGGGGAGAAGGGCTCGGGCTCGCTCGGCCCCCGCCCCGGCAGCCAGGCCCGGGCGGGGAACGGAAGCCGCTGCCGCCTCAACCAGCCTCTCGCAGGCAGCCACCGAGCAGCTGGCATGAGAAGTGGCTGTTGCCGCCCCCTCCACGCCCTGCCCAGACCCGGCTGGCAGGAACGGGCTGGGGTGCAGGCACAGCGGGAAAAGCACAGCCCCCTTCATCCCCCCGCCAGGCCAAGCAGAAATGGGGGCGGGGGACTTGACCCTGCAGGCCCTGCCTACGCGTCACCTATGCCTGGCAGAATGTGGCGGGACAGCACCTTGGGGAGCCAAGCCAGGGCCGTGACTGACCCAGCCATGAGGAGGGGACCTCGGTGCATTGTGCAATCGCTAGACCACAGGGGAGCAAACCACAGGTCCCTCAACATCAGCATCCTGCTTTAGCAGGTGGTCATTGGTCCAGCATCTTCAGCTACCCCAGCTGCTGCCAACACCCAACCATTGGATGGCCTGTGATGGTCATTTTGTCCCACCTTTATGCCATGCCAAAGCAGCCCATTGACCCATCTAGTCCAGTATCCTACCTCTGTTGTTTATTATTACGGTTTTTTATTACAGGAGCCTCTAGAAGCCCTAACTGGGATCAGGCTCCCATTGTGCTAGGCAGATGCAGTTCTTGCCCCAGACAACTTATTAGAAGATGAACAATATACAAAGAGTGGGGGAAAGGGACATAATCAAACACATAGTTGTTGTTAACAATACTTTGTAATAATGTCAATAAATATCAGCTTTTGTAGCAACCTTGCATGGAACTTGGAGGGAGGAGCACAGCTTGCAGGAGGAGGTATCCGGAAGTCAGTCTGGGTGCATGTGGCTGGAATGCTTCTCCCCCCTGCAGTTTCAGCATCTCTGTAAATAGTTCTTTTAATAAAAAGCCAATTTAATTTTAGAAACTTGGATCCTCTGCTGTTACTAGGCCACGTGCAGTTTCCCTATTGTTCCTCAACAGCTTGCTCCAATTACCCTTGGTCCCCTCCTGTCTGTGCTACCCTGGTACTGAATTCTAGGGCAGATTCAGGTAAAATGGAAGTTTTTATAGGATTAAATGTGAAAACAAATCATACAACCAGTGCAGTGTCCCTTTGTATGATTTATTTTGCTAGTAAATTCAGTTTATTTTATTTATGCTGCCATAACTTTTCAACATGCCACAGTGTTTGCTACTGATAATGCCTATTTGCATTGCAGTTTTCAGGGGAGAGCTGCGGGTTTGACAGTGCAGTGGTAGAAATTTGGTATCCAAGAAGGTATGCGAGTCAGTTTATGTTTTTAACACGCAGGCAGCTGTTTTAAGCTTTTCATACTGAAGAGAGGCTGCAACTTCTTTTTACCTTCCCCTTGTAGATTGGGACATAGGTGACCTGAAACTATGGAGGGGCTTCAACTCCTAGTTCTCCTTCCCCAGGAACTCTTCCCATTCGCCTTCCCATTTTCCCCTACCCAATATCTGCCATTTCATCCAACCATGATGAATATCTACATTAGCTGGATGTTTCTGCTAAAATGATCAGCTGGAAAATAGTTAACAATGTTCTCATTTCAAGTGTCATTGTTAGCCTTTGATGTTAACACTACTATAGAGATAACAGTTCACACCTCTCCCAGAGCTGTTATTTCAGGCTGTTTGTGTACTCAGGCAGTAAAAGATTTATATTCTGTTCACATCTGGAAGGTTTTCTTCAAAACTACAACAGCTAGAAACTTAGGACCAGATTCTTAGCCAGTATAAAGTGGGATAGGTTGTAGCTGTGACAATTAGGCCTTGTCTACACTACAGAGTTTTGTCAATGCAAGTTATGCTGACAATCAAAAAACAGTATAATTACATCACTTCTTGTTAACACAATGCTCCTTCTGTTGGCAGAGCGCATCCACAGTTGGTGCTTTAGCATCGACAGAGAGCAGTGCACGGTAGGTAGCTATCCCACTGTGCTACTTGCCACCTTCTGCAGCTAGGAGTTGTGGGAAGGTGGAATGTATTGCAGTGCATCATGGGAGTGGGCTCAACATCCCATGATGCATTTTTTTCCATCCCATCATTCCATGGGCTTCTGACTGCATTTAACAGCGTTTTTCAACGACCCCTGTTTACTGTGTGCCCACGATCTCTGTCTGAACGGATGGATCCTGCACTGCTCTCTACTGTTGAGGTCACTGTTATGAACACGTCGTGGCTGGTCATACAGTATATCATGAGCTCCCAGTCTGAACAGGAATCAGAGGTGGCTGACGTGCTGTGTGGAAAGAAACACCAGATCACTTTTGGCATTCACAGAGCAGCTGCACAAGGTGGACCATCGCTTTTGGGTTTGGGAAACAAGCACAGATGGGATCGCATTGTTATGCAGGTCTGGGATGACAAGCAGTGGCTGCAGAATTTTCAGATGCTGAAAGCCACCTTCCTGGAACTGTGTGTGGAGCTCACCCCAGCACTGTGGCACAAGGACACCAAAATGAGAGCTGCCCTCTAACTGGTGATTGCTGTGTGGAAGCTGGCAACTCCAGACTGCTACTGGTCAGTCACAAATCAGTTTGGAGTTGGAAAGTCGACTGTTGGGTCTGCGTTAACACAAGTGTGCAGAGCCATTAATCGCATCCTGCTATTGAGGACTGTGACTCTTGGCAATGTTTGTGAAATGGTGGATGGTTTTGTGGCAATAGGATTCCCTAACTGCGGCGGGACGATAGATGGCACGCATATCCCAATTTTGGCCCCAGACCATCTTGAGATGGAGTACATCAATAGAAAAGGGTACCTCTCTGTTATTGCAGGTGCTTGTGAATCACCGTGAACATTTCACTGACATCAACGTGAGGTGGTCCGGGAAGGTGCATGACACATGTATCTCCAGGAATGCTAGCCTGTACAAAAAGCTGCAAGCGGGGACTTTTTTTCCAGACCAGAAGAGTCCAATGGGGGATGTTGAAATGCCCATAGTGATCCAGGGAGACCCAGCATACACCATACTCCCATGGCTTATGAAGCCTTACCCGGGAAGCCTGGACAGCCAAAAGGAGTGCTTCAACAATAGGCTGAGCAGGTGCAGAATGACTGTAGAATGTGCCTTTGGCAGATTAAAAGCACTCTGGCACTGCCTTTATTGCTGGTTAGACCAAAATTAGGAAAATATTCCCATGGTCATAGCAGCCTGCTGTGTGCTCCACAATATTTGTGAGGCTAAGGGTGAAAAGTTTCCCCCGGGATGGAGCGTGGGGGTGGAGTGCCTGGTGGCTGATTTTGAGCAGCCAGATACCAGCACTATTAGAGGGGCGCAACGGGGGTGTGTGTGGTATTTGAATCTGGGAGGCTTTGAGGCACCATTTTGACAATGAGCTCCAGTAATGTCTTTCTATATACCACTCCGCCATGCTTTATTAACTCGCTGCCTTGCATGAAAATTTTGATGATTCTTGACCGTGATTTGTACTCAGAAATGATCATATTGCCACAGTGTATTAATTCCAGCAGCAACCACCGTGTGTAGGAGACAAATAAAGATTGGTTATCTTTCAGAGAGTATGTTTTTATAAAATACCAATTAACAACACACACAAAAGGCTTAGTGGGAAGGGAGATAACAATGAAGGGCAGTGTAGGCTCTTATAACTGTGTGTAAATCCAGCTATCATTTTGGAAGCTGTCCAGAGGGGTGGAGTGAATGGGGTGCTGAGACGGGCCAGGAAGTTGCAAGGAATGTGTGGGAAGAGTTTGTCGTCAAAGCAATAGAGTGTGACAGGTTGGACACCCTTCTGGGATGCCCTGATGTACTGGGATTTCACTGAGCCCGCCTGCTCCACTAGCCTGGTCCCCCTTTCCCTGTTTTGCTGAATCAGGCTTTCCGGCCTCTGGCAGCACAAACACAGGTAGGGATGCACCAGCTGTAGAATCACACAGAGTCTGCAAGCGGCTCTCTATGTGGAGATTAAGAACATAAGAATGGCCATACTGGGTCAGACCAAAAGTCCATCCAGCCTAGTGTCCTGTCTGCCGACAGTGACCAATGCCAGGTGTCCCAGAGGGAGTGAACCTAACAGGTAATGATCAAGTGATCTCTCTCCTGCCATCCATCTCCACCCTCTGACAAACAGAGGCTAGGGACACCATTCCTTACCCGTCCTGGCTAATAGCCATTAATGGATTTAACCTCCATGAATTTATCTAGTTCTCTTTTAAACCCTGTTATAGTCCTAGCCTTCACAACCTCCTCAGGCAAGGAGTTCCACAGGTTGACTGTGC